CACACACACAACGTGACGAACTGCGTGAACCGAGAACGGGCGTCAATCAGCAACCTTCCTATCCACGACACTTGACGTGTCGGGATAGTCTCGGACTCAAGTCACCCGTGCAGCCGAGGCCGCATGGGGACCGAGTCGAGATACACACTTCCCACTTGCGTGGGAGGCGGCAGTTGAGTGCATGAGGTGTGTGGGGGTTGATGTCTGGTGGGGTGATAGTGTTAGGAGGTAGGGAGTGAGGGAATGTGTGGTGTGATCGGCGGTTGTCTACCGCAGGTCGTCGTGGATGCGCATGTGGCCGAATAGACCCATGCGATGCCGGAAGGTGCGAGGGCATTGTGGGCAGTGGAGGCGAGTGCGGTGGGTGTAGGTTGGTGCTCCAGGCACTGGTTCACCAGTCTCTGTGCGATGGATTCGCAAGTGACCGATCAGGCCGTTGTGTGAGGTGAAGGTGCGGTCGCAGTGAGGGCAGGTGGGGGTGGTTGCGGTTGCTGTGTCGTGGTTGGCGATGTGTGAGATGGCAGCCTGAACGGCTACCGTTGGGGCAGTGGAGGAGAAGGAGGAGGATGGAAGTGGTGGTGCAGAAGGAGTGTCAGAGTTAGTTGGCGGAAGAGAGGACGAGGAAGAGGCGGGCGGGGGGACGATGGCTGGAGCAGTTCGAGAGGTGCAGTTGGTTCGAAGATGTCCAACAAGTCCGATTCGTGCCCGGAATGTCCGTTGACATCGAGGACACGTAGGGAGAGGTTGTGCGGCGGCGTTGCGTATTGGGCGAAGTTGTGATTTGCGGGCTTCGCGTTTAACTTTGGCGGCGGCGATGCGGTGGGCTTCGTAGATAGCAGCGCCCGTCTTCACTGTTCTCCTCCATGTCGGACGATCGCGGGCGAGCTCTTCCCAGTTGGTCGGGTTGATGTGCAGGCGCTTCAGGGAGGACTTCAGGGTATCTTTGTAACGGCGAATTTGGCCTCCTTGACGACGAGAACCCGTCGCGACGTCTCCGTAGAAGAGTCGTTTGGGTAGTCGCTCGTCGTCCATGCGCACCAGATGGCCGCTCCAGCGCAGCTGCATTTGTCTCAACATGGAGTAGATGCTCAGAATTCCCGTCCCTTCCAGCACTTCGGTGTCGGGGATGCGGTCCTGCCAGTTCAGCCTCAGGATGCGGCGGAGACAGCTGAGGTGGAAGTGGTTTAGTCGACGTGCCTGCCTCGTGTACACCGTCCAGGTCTCCGCTCCGTACAGTAGCGTCGGCAGGATGACGGCCTTGTACATCTTCAGCGTCGTGCTCAGTTGGAGACCATGACGATTCTAGACTGTGCTTTGGAGGCGACCGAGGGCTTGACTGGCTTTCGAGATCCTGTTGGCGACTTCGTCGTCGATCTTGGTGTTGCGGGAGAGCGTGCTGCCCAGGTACGGGAAGTTCTCTACCACTTGCAGTTGAGTCCCATTCACGTTGATTTGCGGCGCGTTGGGGGCTGTGGCTGAGTTGGGAGGCGGCTGATGCATCACCACCGTCTTCTGCGTGTTGATAACCAGCCCAAAGTTCTCGCAGGCGGTGGAGAATAGGCCCATGCTCCGTTGCATCTCCACTTCTGAGATGGTGTTCAGGGCGCAGTCGTCGGCGAAGAGGAGTTCGTGCACGGTGGCTGTGGATACACGCGATCGGAAGTTCATGCGCCGGCGATTCAGGAGATGACCGTCCGTTCTATAGGCGATGCGGATTCCAGGGCGTTCGTCGCGGTAGGCGTCCATCAGCATGGCAGAGAACATGAGACTGAAGAGGGTAGGCGCCAGCACACAGCCCTGCTTCACTCCGTTGGTCACTGCGAATGCCTCTGAGACAGCTCCGTTGTCCGTGACTCGCGCCATCATACCGTCGTGCAGCTGACGCACCATCTGAGTGAATCGCTCCGGACAGCCGAATTTCTGCATGATCTTCCGCAGTCCTTCACGATTCACCGTGTCGAAGGCTTTCGTCAGGTCCACGAAGGTAGAGTACAGGTGGGTCCGCATCTCCTGGCACTTCTCCTGAAGTTGGCGGGCTGCGAAGATCATATCCGTGGTCCCACGATGACGACGGAAGCCGCATTGGCTTTCCGGCAGAAGGCCCTGTTCCAGATGGTTGTTGAGGCGGTTGAGCAGGATGCGAGCGAAGATCTTCCCGGCGATGTTCAGTAGGGAGATGCCGCGGTGGTTGTCGCAGACTTGGCGATTCCCTTTGCGCTTGTAAAGGTGCGCGATAGTTGCGTCCTTGAAATCTTGCGGGACTTCACCTTGACGCCACATCTCCTGGAAGAGCGCAGTCAGGTGATCCATCAGTAGGGGACCTCCGTGCTTGTAGACCTCAGCAGGGATTGCGTCCGATCCGGGTGCTTTCCCGCTGGAGAGCTGCTGCACGGCCCTGATCGTTTCCTGGAGAGATGGCGGGAGGTCGAGGTCCGCGTTGGTCGCCACTTGCGGCAAGCGGGCGATGGCGGCGTCGGAGATGACGGAGGGGCGGTTGAGGACGCCTCGGAAGTGCTCGGCCCATCGCTGCAGGATTTGCGTCTTCTCAGTCAGGAGAGTGCTGCCGTCGGCGCTGAGGAGAGGAGCAGTGCCCTTCGTCGGCGGACCGTAGACAGCTTTGATCGCGGAGAAGTTCTTCCATTCGTTGCAGTCCGCGTAGCCTTGGATCTCCTCAGCTTTGCGAGCAGTCCAGGCGTCCTGCATCTCGCGCAGTCGTTGCTGAAGCTGTCGGCGACTGCGGTAGAAGGCAGCTTTGTTGCCCTCAGTTGGGTGCTCTACGTAGGCTTTGTGTAGCCGGTTCTTCTCGGCAAGCAGATTGCTGATGGCGGCGTCGTTGTAGTCGAACCAGTCCTGGTGTTGGCGGGGAGCGCGACCGAGGACGGCGAGCGCCGTCGACTGGACCGTGTCACGCAGTTGACACCAGCGGTTCTCCACGGAGGCGTTCTCGGCGGCGGCAGCGATAGGAAGGTTGTCTAGCCGTTGAGCTAGCTCATTGCTGAAATGGAGACGGTGAGCAGACAAAGACAACAAAGCAACATTCAGCTTACCTGGGGGTCGCTTACCTTGTGGTCTCCTGCGAGGCTGTAGGCGAATACGCATCTTCGAGATGACGAGGCGATGGTCGGTCCACCCGTCAGCACCCGCGATCGCCTTCGTCACCAGCACGTCCCGCTGATCTCGCCTCCGGACGAGGACATAGTCCAGCAGGTGCCACTGACGCGACCGAGGATGCCTCCAGGTGGCCTTCTCTCGCACCGGCAGACAGAAGAAGGTGTTCGTCAGGGTGAGGCGGTGTTCTGCGCAGGTGCGGAGGAGAAGCAGGCCGTTGTCGTTGGATCCGCGGAGACCGTGGTTCCCCAGCAATTTTTAGGCCAGCTTTTCGAGGCCCCCCCGAAGGAAGCAGTGCCCTGACCCCTGAATAGGGGCTGCATGATGTGCCTGCACGGCCGAACTCCACTGTGGGCCACGAGTTTTTTTGGCAGTGGAAGAACGACTCGAATTTGCCAATGGCTTACGGCATTGCCGCAAGCCTGCGGTCTCCTACGGTGCACCAGATGGGCGCGTGTCGACGGTGCCAATTCGGAGATCCATCCCACCGGCTGATCAACGGCGTACCAGGCGGAGCCTCGTCTAGACGATGCCGATGCGACGTTCCACGACCAACCGGCTGACCAGCGGTGTGTCAGACAGAGCCTCGTCACGACGGCGCCGACGCGGTGTTCCATCCGACCAACCGTCCACGGAGTCCGCAGTCACCTGTGCACGCGGCACAACGCGCACAGGGAGTAACCGCCCTCACCTGGTTTAGCCCGCCGGTCGAGACGGTTGCCCGGGGTGTGGCCGCTGAGCAGAGCCCAGCTACGTGGAGCCACAGGTGAGATTTGAGTGCCAGCAAGTGGACGCTAGGCGTAGTCTCACCTGCAAGCAAGTGAGCGACCACTACGACCTTCATGTGAACCCACCGCTGACACCCCTACACCCCGGATATTTGGTACGGCTGTGATCACAACAGCCCTAACCGGCTTTTATGATGATGTCACGGGTTGCGCCATTCTACCCGTGACGATCTGCGGCAGCAGATCGGGAGAGTCCGACTCATCCCATCTTCCAGCGACGGATACCGAATAACGAAAGTCTAAGAACCATGTCTTGACGAACTTTGCCGAGCCAGTTCCCCTCTTGGGCGCCTTCAGATGGGTAACGGTGTCGAATCGAAGATAGCAACTCTGGGCTCATGAGATGGACGCCGAAGGTTGTGCCCAAACCACTTCAGTTGTCTTTCTAGGGTGACCTGAGATATCTCAGCGATGTCTTTGCAGCGAGCGCGGACTGTCTTATTTGGGACAAAGTCAGTGTACTTAACTTGAAGGACGGTCCTCAGGCAGCGGTGGTCAGGCACCTTCAGTTTTTTGTTCCCCGTCAACGCGCACAGCCCAGCATTCACAGCCGCATGGACTGACCCAACAGATGCGCGGCATACGTGACGATGGACCTTCCGCGTCAGGTCCATTGGCCCTTTCTAAGGATTGAGAAAACCTTGTGAGCAGCATCGATTCGGGAGACAGTATCGTCCTTATCCTGTCAAATCGGCAGCAGGTTCACCCTGTGCTATTCGAAACTATCCACTTCTTCAAATTGACAGCTATTTATCCCGAGGAGTGCGCTCTCCCGGTCAGCGATGCAGATCGAAAACATTCTGGTCTTCCCAGCTTACATGGACAAACCGACCGACTTTACGATCTCGTTAACCACCTGACACCACAGCCCGTACATCATCAGAGGTGTCTCTGTTCAAGCCCTGCAGCATAGCAGATATAGACGGGTTGCCATGGTCGGCCTTCTCGGGTGACTCTTTTGTTTGTGTCTGGTGCGGATCGAGAGAGTGTGGTAGGCAATGTGCGCTGACGATGAGGTCCTGGCTATGCGGATTAACACTTGCCTTGGCCTGGAATAAACGCATCTGCGTCAATCTTAATCTGCCGTCCTCCTTTCACTACTAGCGTTTATGTCTTCCAAGCTGTCGGGAACCGTCCTGATAGTTGGGACATTTGAACCTTCCCGTGTCTAATCTGCCCGGTTGACGTGATGCCGCAAGACTCGGTAGGCTGGAGGGAACTGACGCGTCGGTTGATTAGTCCTTTTCTCCAGAATCAGACCTTTAAATGGGGCCGTTGGGTCTACGTGGTGCCTCAGATAAGGTATTTTACAACCTCAAGATCAAAGCTGCGCCGTTCCTCCGGAATATGCGCAAGCAACGCGGCGACTGTAGGTGTGTTGCCGAAACTGGACGACAGCTAGGGACCCGACTGACCAAAGCCAGTCAGAGATACGACACAAACCTGATTCCCAGGCCACTATGCATACTCAAGGTTGCTTATATGAGGATCTTGGACACTCTTTCGATGGCTGTTTGCATGCAGAAGTCGGTGGACTGGTGTTACGCTATTCCAAACGAATAAACTCATGCATGCGGCAAAAACACAGACCATCCATGCAACCCTTTTTGAGGTCACAAGACAACGAGCCCGTACCTCAGTGTTTAGGGGCATTGAACTTCTAACTAACAGGTCGCGGGATCGAGCCCTAGGTGTTTCACATTTCGGAGTTGGGTACGACTGGCTGACGACGACTAATAAGTCAGAAATGGGCATTCCAGTCTCCTTTGTTTTTGTCGGTAATACCATTCTGCATATATATGTGCATATATATATATATATATCGGCGAAACACGTGTCTGGGCTTTTAGCAAGTATCTAGGTCGGGAGTACGGTATACTACCATTACCATATGGAATTCATACTACTCGTAGTACTACTTGTTTGTAGAATGGGCATTACGTGGTTATTCCACAGTAGTTGATTGTCTTCGACTCAAATGTTCATTGAAATTTCGGTTCTGACCCTAAAAAGTCATGTCCCGGAGATTTAACTCCAAGTTCTGCACTGATTAATATCTGAAATTATTCACCTGATTATTCTCTGGAGTTCATATACCGGAAACCGCTAGAGAACGCTGGGGGTCCCACTGAAGAGCCGAACCCCTCGCAGCTGTGTCACGCAGCGGCAGAATATCGGCGAAACACGTGTCTGGGCTTTTAGCAAGTATCTAGGTCGGGAGTACGGTATACTACCATTACCATACATATATATATATATATATATATATATATATAGGCAGAATGATATTACCGACAAAGACAAGGGAGACTGGAATGGCCATTTCTGGCTTATTAGGCGTCGTCAGCCAGCTATACCCAAGCCCGAAGT